CCAGATTAAAAGTTGACAGCAGGCAGTCAGCTAGTTTTACGTTCTTGGTGCCCAATAGGCACTCAATAAATACATACTAAATACACGGTGGAGACAATTTTTTTGCTAAAAAACAAAACAAACCATGACATGGAACCTCACAGACAAGAGCCAGAAACATACGTTGAAAACTATGACTTGTAACTATGAACTTGGACTTGGAGCCACGCAGAGCTGAGCTAAATGTCCTGTTACCTGGGAGGCTACTGAAATCTGTCAGCCAAGTTTTGGCTGTTTGTAAATTAGAAGCACTATTATCTCTGCACCACTGTTGCTAAGGAGCTGAGGTATGAAGACCCCTAACAAATTGCCTGCATATAGTAGCCACTTTGAAACAACGTGTAGAAACAATAATACTGATCATAATAAGGATTATCATTTATGCAGATGTATGTCGGCAGGTCAACAAAACCCCTCATTCTGTTTTCATCAGGTCTCACTTTTGAGATAGGGAAGCAAACACTCAGGCAGAGAACAGAGCCTTCTCTCCTTACTCTGCCACCATCACTGCCAGCTCAGAGCCTGAAATGCCGCAAGTTATCATAAGGAAGATGAATGCGAGGAAAAGCTTCAAATCTCTTCCCCCGCCTGGAGAAGGCACAGCATCTCCTGAACCCAGATCAAAAACAGCCAGCACACCTGGATTGCAGGTCTGCAGAAAGTTCAGGATTTCTGAGCTGGCAGCTGGCCACTCAACCTGGGAGGAACCTTGCTCTCCCTGAACAGGCACGAAGACAGCAGCGCCTCCAGCTTGGGGTCAGGACATCCTGGGGCTCCCCTTCTCCCAGTGTCTTCTCCCACCAGCCCTTTCTTCTGAAGTCAAAGAACCAGTGTGGACTCTTCAGCCCAGGACCCAAGACACGTTCCCAGTTAACCTCAAAAATCTGGCTTGGGGGGGGTGGGGCGGTGCAAAAAAAAAAAAAATCTGGTTTGGGGAACTTGACAGCTGATGTTGAGGACACATTTGTGTTATTTCCAATCAACAAGAAGCTTTTTTTTTTTTAGAAAATACTCTTAAATCAGTCCATCCAGGCACTTTAGTTATTTGTTTTTGACTGCATGTGCGATCTTAGTTCCCCAACCAGGGATGGAACCCACGCTCCCTGCAGTGGAAGCGTGAAGCCCTAACCACTAGTTCCCCAGGGAAGTTCCAAGAAACTTCTGATTTCAATCCCCTGTAAAGATTGCCATAAAGACTAAGTTTCCAGCTGACTGGCATATTTCCAAAATATGGAAATATTTATTCTAGCTCTGGCTTCTACTTATGGCCTCCACCTCCCCAGTTATCCAGGTCTGTGTATTCCCTGTTACCCCTCTGTCAAGCCTGTCCCCAGGTCCTTTTGATTCATTTCTCAAAATGTCTTTCACAAGTGTTCCCTTTGTCCCTTTCCTAGGTCATTCCAGAGACCTGGCCCATGATGGTCAGCACCGCTGAGCATCCTCTCCGGTCTCCCAGAGCTGACTTCATCTAATTCCTTCAGACATAACCATCTGGCAAATTTTCATTTCCGACGGCTTCCACCAGTTCTGTCTCTGAGAGCCTCTCAGCTGGTATGGAATCCACATCCTGCTGGAATTGAGGCAGAATTCTGATACTCTCACCCTGCTCCGCAATAACCACTCTGCTCTAACAGGAAGTATTACACTATTCTTGTCTCTGACCTCTGGGTTTTTGTGCAGGCTTCTCTTCCTTAACAGAGTTTTGAAAGAATTTTCCTAAAATGCTAATATCATGGCATCCAACCTTCTGCCTTCAGGAGTTATATGAAATCTTCTCTGCACCAAATATAGTTTGGGCTCTTTCAGACACATATTTTTATTAAAAATCAATTAAATTTGTTTTAATTAAAGAAACATTAAAACAAACAAGTACCCCCTAGATAACACTGTTAATATTGAACAATATGTACTAAATGTTATTTAATTCTCTCAACAGCCTGTATAGTAATAATATATTTGGAGATTTCTATGTGGGCTTCTAAGGTGGTACAGTAGTAGAAAATCCGCCTGACAATGCAAGAGACACAAGAGATGTAGTTTTGTTCCCTGGGTTGGGAAGATCCCCTGGAGTAGGAAAAGTAACCTGCTCCAGTATTCATTCTTACCTGAGAAATTCCATGGACAGAGGAGCCTGGTGGGCTACAGTCCATGGGATTGCAGAGTTGGACATGACTGAGCAACAAAGCATGCACATATTTGTATGTATGTGTCTATATGTGGATTTGGGTATGTGTGATAGATTTTTGATAGGTGATAGAGGAAGAAGTCCATAGCTCAGAAGAAATGTGAGTCTTGATTCTACCTTGAAAGGTGATTTCTATCTCAAACCTTAAAGCTCTAAATATTTAGTCCACTGCCTCAAAAGAAAATTCTTTTTGAGAATTCTTTCTCTTGGAACCTCTGTTTGCCTCTTTTTGGTATTAAGGCTCCAGAACACAGACACTCCTGTGTGGCCTCTGTTGGATTTAACACTCCCATTGCTTTCCAAGTTTTCCTGGGGTGTGATGCTCTTAACTGTGACCTAGTGCCTGGGACTTTCCATGATCAGTTCTTGCTTCAGTGATTTGTAAAAGTACCAAAGCCAAACCATCTGTTGCAGGTGATGAGCTGAGTCATTAACACTTCCAAAATGATTCCAGAGATCCAAGAGCATACAGGACCACATATTTGAAAAAACAGAAAACATGTTTTCATGGTGATTTATCATTGCCATGATGGTTTTTAATGAAAGCGTGTCTGGAAAAACTGTGGAATGTCAAATTCCTAGACGTGGAAGTGGTTTCCTCTCTGACAGCTGACCTCTCAGGCTGTCACCAAGGGTCACAAATAGTCGGGAAGTGCAGGAAGATGTTACTTTTCCAGCTGTGGGGTCACCAACCATCCCTGAGGAAGCTGGCAGGGACTGGAGCTGGGACTTAACACAAGTGGTTTGATTTTAGGAAGAGAAGTCTTTCAAAATATTTGACTGGGGACCTCATTGGCCCTGTTGCTGTCATGGGGATGGGGGAGTTCAAGGGGCTGTCGGGGATGGAGTAGAGGTGATGATACTTGTTTTAAGCACGTGAAGCACAGTCTGCGCTGCAGACCAGTGGTCCATACCCTTTTTGGCACGAGGGATCGGTTTCTTGGAAGACAATTTTTCCATGGACTGGGTTGGTGGGGGACTGGTTTTGGAATGATTCAAGCACATTACATTTATTGTGCACCTGATTTCCCTGATGGCTCAGATGGTAAAGAATCTGTCTGCAAAGGGAGACCTGAGTTCACTCCCTGGGTTGGGAAGATCCTCTGGAGAAGGGAATGGCACCCCACTCCAATCTTCTTGCCTGGAGAATCCCATGGACAGAGGAACCTGGGTGTTTACAGTCCATGGGGTTGCAAAGAGTTGGACACAACTGAACAACTAACACTTTCACTTTTTTCTTTATTTCTATTATTGTTACATCAGCTCCACCTCAGATCATCAGGCATTAGATCCTGGAGGCTGGGGACCCCTGCTGTGGATCACTTCAGGGAATGCAAGGAGGAGGGTGAGTGAGAATGCCATTGGGGTGTAAAACCAGACTAAAACAGAAAAGAAAGGGAAGGAAGGGAAGGGAAGGAAAGAAGAACAATGGTATAAACTTTCGGTGAGCATTTTGATAGTTTATTAACAATGTGGTCGAATTCTCATTTCAGGCACTGGGTAGCAGTCAGATCTGGTTACGGCCCAGTGAGGGGTCTACCAGATACCTCTATCCTGCGCTCTGGGAAAGCTTGCTCTCTCTGGCAGTCTAATGTCTCTTTCATACCGCAAGACTGAACAGACCAAGTCACAACATGCCTGGAGAACCATTTTGTCCCAGTGCTACAGGTTAAGAAGTTTCTAGATGGTTGGCTTAGCCACAAAGCCAGCAGACTCCTGGTGAAAAGGGACACATCCTCTGAATTCACACAAGTGGCTATGACAGAGGCACACCTTCTCTTTATTTGTTCACCGGTCTGTTGAGACACTGGGCTGCTGGCCAGGCTACAGAGAGGAAGAGGGTTCGAGGGAGCTCATGCCTCCTGGGAGTGGCAAACAGGAAGCGAAAGAATTGCAATGCATTGGGATAAATGTTGGGCCATGAGGATGTGTCATGGATAATGGGAACCCAGGAAAACAGCCCCTCCCTGTCTGGGGAAATTGATGGAAGACCTTCCAAGACATGAGTCCATTTTAATTGATCTCCCAGACAAGCAAAGGGAGCGTGGTGGGTGGGATGCTGACTCTGTGACTCTCTGTGACTCTGGCAGATACAGAGATATGTGAGAGGATGATCAGATTTATGCAGGGAAATGACAGCATCCGGTTGATGCTATCACAAGATTGTTGTGATGGAGGGAGGGTCTGGTCCTTGGAAAATGCAGCCTCCAGACATACCCACCTGCCCCAAGTCTCACATGGGGGAGGGGACTCTGAGGCTCATCATGCAGGTGTTCACAGCTCTCACCTGCCCCCAGCCCTCCAAAAGGCAGAGCCCTGTGTTTCCCAGACCCCTTCTTTGGAATTTAGTGGGGAAATTGGAATAGGAAGCAGAGGAGGACTTGGGTCTAGTGGTTAAATTGATCCATGAGACTAAGTGAGGAGTGAGAGGAGACAAGATTAAAAGAAAAAGGGAAAAGAAAGAGGCAAGGCTGCTGGGTTGAGAGGAGAGAAGCAGGCTTTTTGGTGTTGGTGCAGGGCTGCTGGGGGAAGGGCCATGGGGTAATCTTCGGGATCGAGGAGTGGTGATGAAGGAGGACACTTGGATGGAGGGTGTTGATAAGATCCCTTTAATGTCATTTGACAGAGACTGGAGTGCCTTCTCAGTTACTTCTAGAAATTGAACCCTGAGCCGCTTGGAGACTGAATCATGTAGATCCCAGTGTTTCAAAAAGTTACAACACATGCTGTTTGATGGGACTTAGTAGAAAAGATGGTCAAGGAAATGTTTACATACCTGCTCGTTTTTGTCTTACTGGATCCTCCTCCATTAGTTCATGTTCATGGAGAAGCTGAAAGAACATTTTAGAAAATAGTGAGTGTTAGTGATGTCTTTTCATGATGGTTTTCTGCTCACAGGCCCGGGAATGTTCAAGCTGAGCATAGGGCTGCCGACTCTGGGTCAACACCTTGTGCCCTGTGGATGGCAGGCTATCAGCTATGGGAGGGTAGGGAAGATGCAATGGATTGGCCTCTGAGATATGACCTTGGCACTGATTTTTATAGACCAGTCACTAGATCCAGAAGCGGAAGAAATCAGCCTATCTGATTCTCTCAGAGTTCCTGCAGCTTGAGGCCTGTCAAGAAACATAAATTATGCTCTCCTCCATTGCACTGGGGCTTAAATCCTGAGTCATTTGGGCAGCACTTTAGACTAGTCTCACGACCTCTCCTTTGCCCTCACTCAGCCTGTCCCCACCCCAGTATTTCTGCAGCCTTGAGAGTGTTTAGGTTATGCATGTTTAGAAATTATTTTCTCCTTCTCTGGCCCTTTTCCTCCTAGATGGTTTTATGGTTGCTTTTTGGGGCAAGGGCTTTGAGACCGATCTCTAGAGCCAGACTGCTAGGGTACAGAGCGGTGCTCTTTACTCACCTGCGACCTTGAGGAAGGTACTTAGTCTCTTTGAACCTCAGCTTTCTTTTCTGTAAAACGGTTCACACAGAACACCCCCTGCCCCCAACTGCATAAACCACTTGCTTCATCTCCATAAAGCTCATCTACGTTCACTGTGTGGCTTCTTTAAGAACTGACATTGATTGCCTTTGCTGCTGGGCTCACTGCCAGCTCTGTAGCTTATAACCTCACCTTGACCTGATATGGCGTTCCTAGCTCATCCCTGCCTCCCAAGTGAGTTTTCCTATGATGAGTTTCCCAGCTCAAACTTCCTTTAAGTCTCAGTAGAGGGACCAGATAACCCCCGCCCTCCAGGGTGTTACCTTGAATCCCACCCCCGCCCCTACACCAGGGAGCACCACCTGAGACAGAGCTTGTTTTGCCCTCCGTGGTCTATACCATTTTTTCCCTAGGTATCTCCCATCCTAATGATATCCAGAGGAATAATTCCTAAGACGTCTCCAACACCCGATGCCAGGCACTGTTAAGTGCTTGGTGTGTGCTTATTTATTTAATCCTCATGACAATCTAAGGTGTAGATACTGTTATCATCTGCATTTCACAGATGAGAAAACACAGGCGCAGAGGGGTCAAATAACTCGCCTAAGGTCACACAGCCTTGAAATGGCAGAATCGGGGACTCAAACCCAGCTGTCCTTCCTCCTAAGTCTGCACTTATCCTCACAGCACAGCATCATCTCACCAGGCGATATCCTGGGACAGCGTGGGGAACCTGGGTTCCTCTCGGTGACCCGGTCTCTCCTAACCAGTACTTTGTCTCTTTCTCCATTGCCTCTTCCACCCCTGCCTTCTTTTCAGTGGCTGGTATTAATGTCCATTGGAAATGTGAAGGGATCTGAGAGTCCACAGTTTTTCTTGAAGAAATGAACAGAGCAATGATGACTGATGATTGGAATGTGCAAGCCCAGGGGCTGCTTCCTTCACTGTGAGGTTATCTCAGCTCCACCGAGATGTGAAGGGACCAAGAAATAATAAAGTCAATATACAGGGCTGGTTCCTGCCCAGCTTCCCCGGGGGCCTGCTCCGGTGCTGAGCCTGGGCAGAAGGAAAGGCTCTTCGGCTTTCTTCCTGCCTCCATCCTCCCTGGGATTTGGGGGAGGTAGGGGGAGCCACCAGGAAGCTTTCTCTGTTCACTCTCTGTGGGCTTGCTGCTGGGGGGCTCAGCCCAGGAGAAGGTGACTACGGAGGTCACCTTTGGGAAGCAGGCCAAGATTTCATTGCCTCCATTTTTTAGGGGTCGCTAGAGAATTAATGACTTGCTACTGGCAGCTGTGGGTTAAAATCAAGGTACATTTCAGTCCTCTCTTTTAGAGCATTTCTAATCTTCATGAGCATGAGACTCCTCTCCCTTCCCTCCCTCAATCAGATTTCAGTCAGTTCAGCTCAGTTCAGTTGCTCAGTCATGTCCGACTCTTTGTGACCCCATGAATTGCAGCACGCCAGGCCTCCCTGTCCATCACCAACTCCTGGAGTTTACTCAAACTCATGCCTATCGAGTCGATGATGCCATCCAGCCATCTCATCCTCTGTCATCCCCTTTTCCTCCTGCCCCCAATCCCTCCCAGCATCAGGGTCTTTTACAATGAGTCAACTCTTCGCATGAGGTGGCCAAGTATTGGAGTTTCAGCTTCAGCATCAGTCCTTCCAATGAACACCCAGGACTGATCTCCTTTAGGATAGACTGGTTGGATCTCCCTGCAGTCCAAGGGACTCTCAAGAGTCTTCTCCAACACCACAGTTCAAAAGCATCAATTTTTCGGCGCTCAGCTTTCTTCACAGTCCAACTCTCATGTCCATACATGATCAGATTTAGCAGGTCTCAAATAAGGTAAAGAAAACTGCTTTTTTAACCAGCACATCCATGGACAGGAGGCCAGTTTTTAAGAACCTCTGCTCTCTAACTACTTCTTGAATCTTCATGGTGATTATCTGAAACTTTCACGGAATACCTATATTAAGCGCTGCTTCCACATAACTGTCGCCTGCTGGCTCCATTGTTTAGTGAAGATTCACAGCTTTGCATGAGAATAACTGACTTTTTATTTTAAACCCTGTAATCATTGGGTTGCTAGCTTTTTGGAAGGAAAGCTATGACAAACCTAGACAGTGTGTTAAAAAGCAAAGATATCACTTTGCTGACAAAGGTCCGTATAGTCAAATCTATGGTCTTTCCAGTACTCGTGTATAGATGTGAGAGTTGAACCATAAAGAAGGCTGAGTCCAAAAAATTGATGCTTTTGAATTGTGGTGCTGGACTGTTTATAATAGCCAGGACATGGAAGCAACCTAGATGCCCATCAGCAGACGAATGGATGAGGAAGCTGTGGTACATATACACCATGGAATATTGCTCAGCCATTAAAAAGAATTCATTTGAATCAGTTCTAATGAGATGGATGAAACTGGAGCCCATTATACAGAGCGAAGTAAGCCAGAAAGATAAAGACCATTACAGTATACTAACACATATATATGGAACTTAGAAAGATGGTAACGATAACCCTATATGCAAAACAGAAAAAGAGACTCAGATGTATAGAACAGACTTGTGGACTCTGTGGGAGGAGGCGAGGGTGGGATGTTTCAAGAGAACAGCATCGAAACATGTATATTATCTAGGGTGAAACAGATCGCCAGCCCAGGTTGGGTGCATGAGACAAGTGCTCGGACTTGGTGCACTGGGAAGACCCAGAGGGATCGGGTGGAGAGGGAGGTGGGAGGGGGGACCGGGATGGGGAATACATGTAAATCCATGGCTAATTCATTTCAATGTATGACAAAAACCACTGCAATGATGTAAAGTAATTAGCCTCCAACTAATAAAAATAAATGGAAAAAAAAAAAAAGAATTGTGGTGCTGGAGAAGACTTCTGAGAGTCCCTTGGACAGCAATGAGATCAAACCAGTCAATCCTAAAGAAAATCAATCCCGAATACGCATTGGAAAGACTGGTGCTGAAGGTAAAGCTCTAATACTTGGCCACTTGCTGGCCAAAGAGCTGACTCTTTGGAAAAGACCCTGAAGCTGGGAAATATTGAAGGCAAAAGGAGAAGAGGGCAGCAGTGGATGAGATGATTGGATAGCATCATCGATTCAATGGACAAATTCCAGGAGACAGTGGGGGACAGGCAGGCCTGACGTGCTGCAGTCCATGGGGTTGTAAAAAGTCAGACACGACTTAGTGACTGAACAATAATCATTGGGAAAAGATGGAGGGAAAACATACTAAAAGCACTGAAGCCTCTGAGTTGTTCACTGGTGATGCTGGTGGGGGCAAAGACCCTTGGCCACCCAGATTTGACTGAGCACCAAAAGTTAGACTGCCAGGTCATGGGGCCTGGATTTCAAGAAGGCCGGTGTTGGAGTCACACCAAGAACTGATCCCTCTGCATTTTCTTCTCTCTAACTGGAAAAGTCATTCATTCTTTCCAAGCCTCAGTTTCTCCCATTTTGAAAAACAAGGAACATGATAAACGCGATACATCTCTGGCAATGCTGACAGCCCATATGCCCATCTGGCCTGGGCTCATCGGGGGACAGTCTTGCCTTCCTGAGTCTCATGTCACCCTAGTTCGGGGGACGATGAGGCTGCACGCAGATCCTTCCAGGGTCTCCCAATGCTGAGTACGATTTCAGACAAAAACCAGAGCCTCTGCCTGTCCATGGAAAGGTACCCAGATGGGTATTGGAGGACAATGACCAGCTCTGTCCAGAAGGGATTTCCTGTTTGCCAAGCTTCAGTCAGAAGATACAAGGTCACCGATTCCAGGAAATGCCCCACTTGTTGAACTTTACAAGTAATGGGAGGGTGGGGAGTGGCCTGAAGGGGGAGCAGACAGACAGTCAGGAATGAGAGATGGCATTTTTAGAAGTGGAAAAAAAACCAAAAAACCAGGGAGCCAGATGACAAAAAAAAATAAATAGTTACAGATCTCACTCAGTTTTGCATCTTTGCCTCGTCAATTGTCTCAGCAAAGATCCCGTTAAAATATCTTCTTCCTGGGCGTGTGAACCCAGGTTTATTTGTACCAGAATAGTAAAAATAACCACCAGATCTTATGTATTTGCTGTGTGCCAGTCATGATGCTAAGCCATGTATATCTGAGAACATGTAATCCTGAAGAAGCTGAAGAATGAGACACTATTTATTTCTCATATTATGTGAGAAAACAGGTTTAGGGAGACGAAAAAATGAGATGAAATTTCCGAAGTTAGTGAGCGTTAGAGCGGGCTTTGGACTCAGGGTTGATCCCAGCGTTGAGAATCTGCAGCCTTGCTGCTCCCAGTGTGATCACTGGGACAGGAACAAGAGTAACTAGTCAGAAGGCAACACCCAGAGCCCCACCCTCAGACTTCCTGAGCTGAAATCTGCACTTGAAGGCTCCCAGCTGGATCCATGCACACATTGAAGTGTGAGAAGCTACATCATCAATCACACTTCAGAACGCTGTCATGCAGTATTTGCACCCCCATGTTCAGAGCAGCATTGTTCACAGCAGCCCGGAGGTGAGAGGAACCCAAATGTGCATTAATGGATAAACAGATTAACGACACGTAGGATATACATACAATGGATCCTTGTTCAGACTTAAGAAAGGAAGGAAATTCTGATGCATACTATTAATACAACAGATACATTTTTAGGACTTTAAGCTAAGTGAATAAGCCAGTCACAAAAAGACAAATACTGCATGATTCCTCTTGTATGAGGTACTCAAGAGTCATCAAAATCATGGAGTCGGAAAGTAGAACAGTGAGTTCTAGGAGTTGGGGTCCTGTGGGGGGCAGAGGAGGTTTTGTTTAATGGATACAGACTTTCAGTTTTGCAAGATGGTTTTGCAGATTGATTGTGCGACAATGTGAATATATTTAATGCTGCTGAAATGCACACTTAAAAATGGTGACAATGGTCAATTTTTTGTAACAGATCATCACTGTATGTTACTATTATATTAGTAAAAGTGGGAGCTGAGTGGGCAGCCTAGGGCCGTATAAGCTGATAAGGCAGTTTCAAGGGCATCTCTCCAATGGAGAGTTGCCAGTTCAGCCTCTGAACTGGATGAAAATATTATATCTTGAAGGTCGATCTAAAGGGGGAAAGTGGGGCCCTTTAGGATGGTGGTGGGAATATCCAGGAAGATATCCTGGTCCACCAGGCTGATGGAGGAGCTTTGTTATGGATGATCACGAGGGTAGAGCTGGCACAGTGGAAGGGCATTGCTGCAGCCGGGAATGCTGGGAATCTCTGGAACAGAGGTAAGGCTGACCCATTGCTAAGATCAGGTCAGTCTCTGACTTTCTCCCCATATGCTTGGGGTAAGTATACCTCTGTGCTGACCATGCACATCCCTGGGAAAAGTAATGTTTCCATCCTCTGTTTACAAGAGAAAGCTGCTGCATAGAATTGCAAGGGTTGTATCCTGCATATTGCAATTTGGAAGAAGACTCACAAAGTATACTTCCCAAATCATGAGAGAAATAAATAAAAAGACAAGACCTAAGTCAAACAAAGAAAGATACAAAAACTAAAAAGAGGAAGGAAATGCATAAACCCATAAAAAAATCCTGAAATTAAGAGCAAGAATTTTAAAAGACATCAAATGTGAATAAATTATACTCTCTAATCACAGTCAGATTAAAAGAAAGAAAGAAAATGAAGTCGCTCAGTCGTGTCCAACTCTTTGCGACCTCATGGACTGTAGCCTACCAGGTTCCTCCGTCCATGGGATTTTCCAAGCAAGAGTACTGGAGTAGGTTGCCATTTCCTTCTCCACAGATTAAAAGAAAAGAATCTCAAACATTCCTTGTATATAAAAGAACCGGTAAAGCAAAGGAATATACTAAAAGCTACACAAAAAATAAAGGTAAAGATCAAGCAAACACAAACACAAAAACAGAACCGACAACTGGAATAGAAGACAGAGAATTAAAATTGAAAATCTCCAACCAGGAAAAGAGGAGACATTTTCTGATGCTAAAATCTATCAATGAAAAACTCTAACAGTTGTGACAGAATGAACGAAGTAGCACTGAAATATCTTTTTAAAAAGTCAGTAGAAAAAAATACAAGAAGAGAAATGATAATAGCAAACAGATAAGGCCTTTTTACATGTGTCAGGCACTAGTCTAAAGCATTTTGTGAATATTAACTAATTTAATTCTCACAGCAATCAGTAAATCAATACTATTATTTTCATTATTTATAGATGAAAAAGCTGAGACACAGAATCACATCTGTCCCATGAGATTTCATAACCAGTAATAAGCCCCGCTCTGGTGCATGGAGTAGCCTAAGGAAAGAAGATCCCAATGATTCCCACAAGGAACAAGGAGGTGAGCTAAGCTCCCATTAACTTCCCAAGGACAAAACAACCTGGCTAATTTGTTTTACAAAAGCTTGGGTGATAACCCATGGCCCTTTCAACTATATCAACCTGTGATTATAACATGACACAAATTAACACCTTTTGAAATGTGTTTTAGTCTGATGCTCCTGGTTAAAAAAAAACATATTCGTTTGAGGACACATGTCCTGCTCAGTCCTCAAAATCTGTTTTATCAATGGTGTTGTCAGCTTCATAGGGTGAAGCTCCAACCCTAGAAGTGGAAAATTCATTAAAGAGGGAAGCCAGGGGAATGTTCCCAGTGATTCCAGAGTATGACGTGTTGTACGCAGGGTGTATTGTCGAATGAATACCATTTATGGTCCACCACTCCCTCCCACCATTTGTGACATGTTCTCAACGGCCCTGAACATTTGTGTAAAGCAGTTTCCGTCGATGATTTTCCCAGGAAATCAGAAAAAAATGTGACAGGGAAATATAGCAGACATGGATTTACTCACCGAATGATAAACAATAGACTCTAAACTCAAACTCAGTGTAGCTTGGGAAGAATAAATTGCGATAATCACGAAGCACAAAGTGGTTCTTCTTGGGGACTTCATGTCTTCAAGTTTGAGTTGCCTTGCCTGAAATGGAAATAAGATGGTTTAGAGATAGAGTGGTGTGTTTATCAAACTTAGAAAAGGACTAGGAAATGCTGTCTCAAAAGTCACCCTGCAAATGGGCATTTTCAGTGGATGGGAGAAAGGAAAGAGCTTAAAGACAGCAACTGTAGAAAACAGTGTCCACTCCAGACCCTGGGGTGATGAAAGGATAATGTCAGGAAAGATGGTGGCTGGGGAAGACCGGGGATGGTACCTGCAAACGGGACAAAAGTAGCAGATCTTTAGGTAAGTTTCCTAGAGACAGAGAGGAGAGAGAATAGGAAAGAGAAAGGAGAAAGAGGAAAGACTACTCAGTATGAAATACTTTTAACGTTATGGTTCAGTACATATGAAGAAAAGGATTCAGAGAACAGTACTTTCCTTAGCTACATGCAACACACTATGATGTTTTCAATTCTGTTCTATTCTCTTACCCTATGTCTTTAAGCCTGGCAATAATTTATTAAACTGACTTTTGTGTGTGTGTTTCATCACTAAGTCCTGTCTGACTCTTCTGCAACTCCATGGTCTAAAGCCCGCCACGCTTCTCTGTCCATGGGATTTCCCAGGCAAGAATACTGGAATGGGTTGCCATTCCCTTCTCCAGGGTCTATTCTTGACCCAGGGATCGAACTCACATCTCCTGTATTGCAGGTGGATTCTTTACTACTGAGTCACCAGGGAGACCCCTAAATTGACTTTAAGACCCATGCTAATGGGCTACGCCCTATTAGTATGAAAAATCCTGGAACTGGTCACAAAAATACAAGATATATTTTAGAGATTTTTAGGGTATATAACATAGAATATTAATAGATAATATATCATACATTGACTCTTGATTGTTATCGCTTCACAATGCCGGTAATAAAAACAAAGGTTTTTCTGATGACCAGATTAATCACGGTTGCATTTGAAAAGTAGAGAATCACATGAAATAATCCCAGATCCTATGGGTCTAGGGACCAGGACAAACTACTTTTCTTGCCTTAGTGACTTTTTAAAATCCATATTTTTGTGAAAAGAATACTTGACAAAGGGGCAGGAGATAGGAACCAAATTAATTGCATCTGGGGCTTCCCTGGTGGCTCAGGGATAAAGAATCCACCTGCCAAGTGCAGGAGACACGGGTTTGTCCCCGGTCCAGGAAGATCTCACACGGCACAGAGTAACTAAGCCTGTGGGCCACAACTATTGAGCTGGTGCTCTAGAGCCTGGGAATCACAACTACTGAGCCCACGAGCCGCAACCCCCGAAGCCCATGCTCTGCAACAAGAACAGCCACACAATGAAAAGTCAGTACGCTGCAACTAAACAGTAGCCCCACTCACCACAACTAGAGAAAGGCCCGTACAGCAGTGAAGCCCAGCAGAGCCATAAATAAACAAACAAAACTATAGAAAAAAAAAAACTAATCTAATTGTATCCTTGAATAAGTCACTCATCTTCTCTGAATCCAGCTTGTCCGTCTATGAAATGGGGATACTTAGACCTCCTCTAATTCCCTCACAGACTTTTCTGAGGCTCAAATGTGATTAAAAGCCACACAGAGCTTCAGGGATGCCAGCTGCGGTGGAACCACCCTGACAGCGGAATCCAGAGGGCAGCCATCAGGAAGGGCAGGCACTGGTCCAGGCATTGCCAGGAGCATCAGAGGACTTGGCCAGGATGGCACACAGAGAGACAGCCAAGGCTTCCATGCCAGCAAGGGTCGTGTTTCAAGCACCAGTTGTTAGCTGCCTCCTTTTCCTCTTCCCCAGTGGGAAAGAAGGAAGCGTAAGGCCCTGGAAAACTGACCCAATTTGCAGATCTGGCAATGAAATACTTTTTTTAAATTCTGCAACTCAATGGCTTTTGGAAAATGCTTCGCAATTTAGGTTACAGGAATAGATCTTTAAGGCCAGATGCATCTACCGTAGGGGAAGCACAGCAACTCATTCCTTGCTGAAAAGCAGTAGGCTTTGGTGGGTATGGAGCAGGCTGATTTAGCCTGGGGGTAACAACTGTCTGGGGGATGAATCAGGTATTTCAGAGGCAATTTAATCTTTTTAGGCATCCACTTTCTGCCTGTACTAACTGGTTCCATTTTGAAGCAGTTAATCAGAAGAGAAAAGTTAGTAGCTGAATAGTTAATGAGTCTCCCTTAATACTTGAGAGCCAGGAAGGGACTCAGGTATTAAAGGGATTTGAGTTGACTGCACATCTTTTCATCACTTTGTAATATTGGCCTTTGTCAGCTAGTAAGGATTACCTTGGTCATGATAATGACCAAATGGTCACACACCCCCCCCCCAAGTGGTCATGTCTGGTCCTTTTGTATAATAACCACTGGCCAATGCTTTCTGTTGTCCCCAACTTCCCCCACCCTCCTTGGACATAGTTCTTGATTAAATTGACGTCTTTTTCTCTGTTGACCTATTTTGTAGCCACAGAATCACAATTCAACAGAAATACAGTTATAGAAAGGACCACACTGCGGGGAAGGGGGTATTCTCTGGATGCAGAAAAAAAGATAACAGCTACATAGAGTCATCAGTTACATAATAAGGGTAAAGGTAAGGCCCTCCACTTAAAGGAAGAAGGTCATTGTTTAGAGAGAGAGAGAGGTAATATTAAAAATATTTGACAACCAGTAAGGCATGAGCCTGACTCATATGAACAAGCATACCAGCTGAAACTCAGTCCCACTTTCAGGGTTCCTGCTATGTTTGGGAGGAGTTCTGAGGATCTTTCCTCACCTACATCAATAATGTCTCAGTAACCCTGCAGCTGTTTTTATCAGTGAGGAAGCTAGTGGAGGCTGTTTAACTTGGCTAGCCGGGGAAAAAATTCCCAATTCATACAAAGAAAAGCCCAGAGTAGAATTCCACTATCAAGGTGACATATCTTGAGTAGGGTTCCCCCTTTTTTTGTAAATCCCCAAGACGTTCCTATTTATTCCAAATTCCTAGAATAAATATGCTCAGTCACTCAGTCACATCCGACTCTTCGAGACACCATGGACTAAAGCCCACCAGGCTCCTCTGTTCATGGAATTTTCCAGGCAAGAATACTGGAGTGAGTTAGTATTTCCTTCTCCAGCGTAAATGGCAGACAACAACTAAAAAACTCAGGGACAAGCAGAGACAGAAAAAGAGAATTATCTTATGTCATTCCCAATTTCTTTATCCTTTGAAATTATAAGTGCTGGACACTGTCTACTAAAACTCACCAACCTATATGAGCCTGTTGTGTCTTAGCAAAAGCTGAGAGATATGACCTCATGCTCAGCAGTAACCTTGTGATGGATGAGCAACTTCCTGGTTCCTCAGACTCCATTTTCCTGTCTGTGAAGTTAGAAGATAGGGGGAGGGAAAACAAGCACCCTGACATCATATGCCGGGAAGAAGCGGCAGTGATTCTCAGCATTTCTCTTGGAGGACAAAGGTCTAGATTACTTGAAACAGTCTAAACCACATTCTCTCTCAGAGGGATTATGCACCAGGAACATTCATTGTGAAACTGACCTGAAACACATCAGGGAACTGTTCTCCCAAATCTTCTAAACAACCAGGGCTTCAGATGAACTAGTCTCAATCCCCTCATCAGCCCTGAGTAGCCCAATTTTGATTGAAGGGGAGAAGTCAAGGGGGCTGTACACCTTGCAAGTTAAGAAGACTGTTCACGAAATGGCCACATCTGTGAGGTCTGATGACCCAATGTCATCATTAAGTTGTGATTCCAAGCTTGGTATATAGAGGGTAATAGTGAGGCTTGCTCTGGAAATGATTTCCTAAGCTTTACACAGCTCTGCCCTCCTGTGCTCTCAGGTATCCTCAGCCCCTCTTCCCTGGGGACCCCAGCCTTAATCCTCTTCTTGGCTCCTCCTGGGGAGAAAGAAGGCAGGAGGTAAAAGAAAGCCCACATTTGATGACCCTCTGCCCAGGTGCCTCCTCCTTCCTCCAGTTCAGGTCTCTGCTCCTGGCTCGGGTCCAAGCACAACTCCTCCTCTTAACGTCACCCTGGGTAGCACCACACTGGAAGGAAGCTCCCTGGAGTATTTAAGCATCATCTGCTTAAATGGCTCTTATCCCTGGCTGCGCATCAGAATAAGCACCTGGGGAATTTCTTTGTTTCCTCTCTTCATTTGTTTGTTGTTTTAACATCATGCTAGGTCAACTGAATTAGCATTTCTGGTGGGGGCAGGAGTGAGGGGGTGGCTGTATCCGCCCCAGCTGTTTCTGATGCAGAGGGAGGTTTGAGGTCTGCAGGTCCACGCTTTCAGCATCCCATTGCCCTAGCCACACTCCTGGCACTTTCTACCACAAGCCTATAGTCCTCTCTCCACTAAAGAAGCTACATCGAAATAGAATCTTAGGGGGGATGCATTTAGGAGACAATCAATCAATGATGGATGAATGAATGGATTCATATAGACTCAGAGGTGATCTACCCAACAGTTTTTGACGCAATTCAGCAGCCAAGGCTGTTATCTGAGGTTGTGTCATATATCTCACATAGTATCAAATATGGTGCACAGTTACAACACAACAGAGAGTGTTCCATAGGCCTAAAACTGCGCTAAGCATGCACGAAGTGAAATAAGTCATGGTTCTTGTCTCAAAAAAGCTCTCAGTTTTATCAGGAAGGCATGAAACAGAGACTGAAAGAAAAATGTAAGCTTAAAAGATGCTATTTACTAAATGTCTGCTAGGTACCAAACACTGCCCTAAGTGTAATTATTAATATGTTCATTCGCTTAATTTGCCTCACAATAAGGCTAGGAGGTAGGTGTTTCCTCTTAACTCATGGATGAGAAAATGAAGGCTTTCTGAGAGGTTACCATACTTATTTCTGGTTACCCAGCTAGTAAATAACAGTGAGAATCACCCCCATTTTGGCCTGTCTCTGGGCTTTACCGGTGGCTCAGTCAGTAAGGAAACTGCCTGCAATGCAGGAGACCTGGCTTCAATCCCTGG